TATATATATATATACACCAAGGCAACATATTTAGTTTATTTCTTAAAAATGAAACTGTAGATGAAAACAATTTTATTCTACTTATTTTTGGACATAAAACTATTTAGAACTAGAGTCTTGAATTTAGAATTAGCTAAATTCAAGTGTACTTGATAAATTTTCAAAAAATCATATGGAAAAATTTTAGTCTTTTCTTTTCGGCTTATTTTTACATGTAGAATCACATCTTGGCCCGGTTGTACCACTTTATATATATATATATATATTTTTTTTTTTTGTTTAAACTGTACGATACAAATATAGAACGAAATATACATATATTGTTTATTTTACCTCGCTGTCATGTTGACTATCCCATAAACGAGGATACATTTTATCAAGTAAACAGCAATCAAACATTTGATAATCGTAATTTATATAGAATTCCCAACATTGGTATATCGATTTCAACGATCGGCCTTAGTAATTTGTTCAAACGCTGTATGAAATTGTAATAGAGGATTCAATTAAATGTCAAAGTATTTTAACAGGCTGTAAATCAAGGACATCGGTTCAATTTTAAGTAGAGAGTACCGGTTTATGAAGCGTTTCATTCAGATTGTAAATTTTGCTCGCGGTCGCTGCAAAATTGAATTTCTTTGAAATGAAAGGGGCGCGGTTGAAATTAATATAAATTAGTAATTTCCAATTTCACGCGTAAGTGTAAATGATCGTTGCGGTTTTAATTAACTTTTAATTATCTCAAAGTGTACAGGATTAACGTTTAAACGCGTATGTCGCGTAAAATTTTCGTACGTGTCTATATCTGTCGTTTTTTTGTAACTCTGTGAGCAATTGTAAATGTTTTATTTGTTGCGTGTTTACAACGGAAAAGAATAAATTGAATAGGTATTCACGTTCGTGAATAGATTGTCACCAACAATATGGCTTTTTACGGTTATGATTATTTACTTAATTGTAAAGTCATACATGTAATATACAATGCATCTTTCGACAATACAGTTCTGCTGGAATTTTATTTATTACAAATTCTACAATTTGCCTCGAAACAAATATTTACGCGGAATTTATTAATCATATAGAAATCACCATGAAGTTCGGTCTATGATAAATTAATGTCAATTTTCTATCGATGAAATAGACTGTCGATTTTTATGCGAATTCATATTTTCGCGAGTGTAATTAAAAGAAAAAAAAATGGAACCTCGATAGAAAATTTGTGATACGTAACAAATAGTACAGAAAATATTATACTTTGGATATTTCACATATATTTTTTTTATATCATGTGTATTTTGTGCAATATTGTATGCATAAAAATCCGTGGTTTATCGACGAAGGTCGAAATTCGAAATTCATACACAGTATGTATAGCTTTATATTTCATACTTTTGGCATAGTTTTTTAATTTAAGTTTGAACACTAGATCTCCGAATATTTCGCACACATACAGAATCCGGTTGGATAATTTGTAAAAACGGGCAATTGTTCGTGAAAAAATGAAAAAGAGATGTAGAATAAAATTTTTTAATTGGAAGCTTCTTCAGAAAATCGAGTTCGAAAATTTATCTGGCATATTTCGAGTTTTTAGTTAATTCTAGACGTGTCGGGAAAGAATAATTCGACTGGCAACGAGTTCGAAAATATCGGGCTATCGAAACGAGTCGGGCAATTTGAGAGAGAGAAAAAAAAAGAAAGACTCAAAGAAAGAATCGAGCTTCTCAAAATGAGTCGGGCTATCTGAAAGAATCGAGCTACTTGAAACAAGTCAAGCCAAAAAAAAAAGAAAAAAAATCGGAGTATCCCAACATTTGTATATATCGAGTAATCTCCTGAGCCCACTCGAAGTTTTTTTCAGGCTCGATACACATCCTTAATTATTCCGCTGGTACAGAACTTTTTATACACACAGTTACAACACTTTTGTACAAATTACTTAATCTTAAAACCGTTTTTTTTTTTTTTTTTTTTTTTTGTAACAAGGTACATTCTGTTAGTTGAAATTCAAGCGAGGAAATTAATTCACTCTGATTGTGTTAATTTTTAATTTACACATCCCTTAGAATTTAAATTCTTGAAAATTATTAAATTAAAGTCATCATTCGCTGGTTACATAAAATTTTTTCCTTTACATATTCACAAAAAGAATTTGGGTTGTAAAGGGTTAATTGAGAAATATTTATCACGCACACATCATTCATTTTGTATATTCCACCTCTAGATGATAAAAAAGTTAAAATGCGAGAAGATGTTTTTAATTTAAGTAAAAGTAACGTGTTTCATGAAAATTGTTCTTCTGTTTTTCAGAGCCGTATTGTCGGATGACTTTCGACGGATGGTCCTGCTGGCCAAATACTCCAGCAGGAACTACCGCATACGTGCCGTGTCCAAATTTTATCACTGGTTTCGACGTCTCGTGTAAGTCCCTTCTTTTATTTTTTTTTTTTTTTTTTTTTGCTTTACCTCGCTACTTTCCAGTGTGCAATTGAATTCTTCGTACGACGTGAATGCGAGACAAAATCCGCAAAAGAGAAAAAAAGCAAATAAAAAAACTCGTATCTCCTATTTTGGTCTACGATTTATGTGAAAATGGACGAACATTTAATATGAGAAATTTCCTCGGCAGAATTGCTGGAGGATCAAGTCAAACTCAAAGCTTAATGTATCGAAAATATTTTTGGAAAATTCCGGTTTGAGCTCATAGGTTTTGAAGTCTTTTTTCGTACCTCCAGCAATAGAAATAAATTCTTAACGAAGGTTTAGAACAAGAAAAACTACGCCATATTTTTGCACAACATTTTATTATAAATCTCGTATGCATACACAACATGGAATGCACAATTAAATGCATGTATCACAATGGTATTTTCTTAAATAGAGTTTCCAAGCGCTTTCGTGCATTTCGAGTTTACATCTTACGCATGTGGTATAAAAAAATATATCTGACAGAATAAAACAACCCTCACGAGCTTCATTCAGTCCAATCATTCATTCAGTTTCACAAATCGCGCGACATAGTTCCCTAACTCTTGTCGACAATGCATGAAAATCATTCAATCACCTATCATTCAATTAAATAATATCAGTCGTGAAAATCGTATTCGCCTCGTTTGTTCTTTGCTCTCCGCTTCGTTTCCTCGGATAAAATATACAATTGCACGTGCGGTTAATGACCGATACCGATCAGTACCGATCCATCGATCATTCGTGCCAAATTAAATAAGTCTATCTTAGAACGTGACTTAATCTATGCAGGTATTGTTAATAATATCATTGACAATGCTCTTGACCATCGGGGACTCGTATTCGAAGAATATCCTCATCAGTTTGTCGTACCTATCCGGCTGCTCGTTTGGTGTAAGAGAATTAAACAGTTTCACTGCCACTAACGTGGCTGAATTAATGCCGGCTTCCAACAGCCCTTCAACTACATCGAATTCGATGTCTTCCTTGTCGTAGCCAGTGAAAAATTCCGATACCAGCATGCTTTTTAAAACATCGATTATGAAGAACATCAAGAACGGTGAGAACATCTTGGCCAGTTCGTCTATCCTTCTGCCCACATTTAATCCAAACTCCTTCGGCGTAGTCGAGGATATTTTTTCCTTGCAATATACCAGTTGCAGATACGACCTGGGGTCCTTTTGAGGCTCGAGTATGGAAATGAACATGGACAAAAGTCTGTCGACTAGTCGTTCGTCCACTTTCATAAAAATGGTCATGGTCACGATAATGTCTGTCAACCTGCGGAAAGCATTGTTCATCGGATAGAAACGACGATGTTTCGGATGGGGCACGTTCCAATTGGACGCGACGATCTCCTTGAACACCTCGGAGAAGAGATTCATTCTCTCGTCGAATTTGCCTTTCTTTGCTGGGAACAGGGCTACGATCATGAATATGTTCGAGGACTTGTACATGTTTACGTCTTGATTAAAGATGTACTTTCGAATGAGATCTTTGATAAAATATTCGGGCAGGAGATTACATATGGCCGCGTTAAGAAAGCTCAGCAGGTGGCTGATGTGATCCACGACTTGCTTGATATTAAGGCCAATCCTCTCGAATCTAGTGACCGTCTCCATGAGTAGCATGAAGTAATCGGCCACGTATTCGTCGGGGGTTGAAATGATTGTTATGAATAACTTGGGGAGTATTTTCTCGTCTTCAACCGTGAGCGTGGAGATCACTCGACAGAACAGGGACCATGTGGTGGAGTCTGGTTCCGTTATGAAGAGTTGCATGATTTGGAAGATCAAGATCATTCGGATCGAGTGATTCTGTTCGGACTCCCATTGTACACGAAGGAAACGAATCATGTATTCTCGGGACGCTACAAGATACATCGATCTTATCCCGTGCTTCCGAACGGCTACCCTCTGAGTACTTAATATCCTAGAGAAAGATATCACAGTCATCGCGTTTGTTCTTCTACAGGCGTTCGTGAAAGCTGGCAGAGCTGACAAACAATCCAAGTTGCACAATTTGGACAACATTGTCAGAGGTACCGGTGGATTCGCGAGCCTCATGCCACTTGTAATACGCTGAATGAATTTGTAATTAATATCTTCGTGTTGAACATCCATCACTTTGCTCGTTGAAATTAATGGTTCGATGATCTTTGAGAACGTTTCTCCGTGAACGAGAATAGCTAATATGTTTAAACAATCCATTTCGTTCTTGGATATATCTTGGAGACATTGTTTAGCGAATTTAATTGGGATCTCTTTGTACCAGCGTAGAGCCTTGATGAACATTCTCATATGATATTTATGCCAATGATCCTTGCAGATATTTAGATAATCCCTCCACTTGGTCAGGATGTCTTTTGGATTTCTTTTCAGAATATTGAATACTTCACCCGTTAGTATTTTGAATTTTTTGTCGTCTGGCCAGAAACGTTTGTACAGCTCCGTGTCGTTTTTCATGAATAAATTCTGAAGATTCTGACGTATATAAACGTTACTCTCTCTGCCCATGTTCAAAATGTTCTCCACCGTTGCCAACAACCATGGATAGTCTGCAATCGTCATGCGTTTTATGTGAGAATGTTTATTTACGTGGGTCTTGTTGAAATGATAGATCGACGTACACAGATCGAACAAGATTCCAGCCCCGTCCTCCCTCCAGGGTGTCAGGTTGGAATCATATTTCTGGGAAACGACGTTTATGCAAGCTTCCAGACACATTTTCTCGCATTGGGGATACTTCTGGATGATATTCCAATAGGCTATCTTCCTCGTACTATTTAAATCGACGAGTATATCGATTAAGACATCGATATTTTTATTCTGAAGGATATTGTGATGAATAGCTGCCTCGACTATCGACACGCTGGTTTGGATGTTGGACCTTAAAGTTCTCCTCATGTGAGCAGATGATATCATTTTTCGCAATATCACCCAATATTCATCACCCATATGGGGTAGATCATAGTGATTTAACAAAGTCTGAAACACTTGCGATATGAACCAAGCTTGTTCGTTAGAATGTCTGTTCTTTAAATACGTCAAAACTTTAAGCAGAGACTTGTCATCCCTGTTCACGTGGCAACAATAGATCATTTCACAAGCTATAGTCGTTCTACATTTCATCTCCGATTCTTTAGAGATTTCTTCTTTAAATTGTGGTAGCGACTCCTCAACAGGTAGGTAACAATCCCAGCAATTAACGTAATTAACCTGGTCTATTTCGTCGTTGCAATTAATTTCGTTAGGCTCGGTCGTCATCTTGATCCTCGCCTGCCTGACTCGTTCCTCGGCTGGCAATATCTTCAACAGATTGACAGTTATTTTCTTTGGTTCGTCCAGAATATTTTTATTGTACACTTGTTGATAAGATCTCAAGAAAAGATTCGCCTTCTTGTCCTCTCGATAGTACTGCAGATATTTCAATATGTCATCGGTCTTGAATTCTTTGATCTTCTTGGGGAATAATTTCGGGTATATAACCTCCATACACTCGTCGCTGATCTTCTTCAAAGGGAGCATTTTAATGTACAATATGGGATTTTCGTACAGGTATGCTCTGCCGTTTCTCAGGAATATCCGGGCGGTTTTATTGTTCATGGTCAGGACCGGCGGACATTTCTTGTACAACGTGCACAATTCTACGAACGAGTCTAGCTTGTTCTTGATCAACTGAATCAGAAGATCGTTGAAGTCGTAAATATTCACTGGATGAAAGTGCCTCGTGCCGGAATCGTCGTCCTTAAAACCTAGTTTTAAATACCGCACGACTAAGTCTGGATTCTTGCGGAAGATCTGTATAACCAGCTGTCGGTTCAGAACGAGCCTCTTCTCCACGATCTTGTTATATGTGAAAGAATCGTTACATGCCAATAACAAAGGCACCGCTTGCTGGACACCATATAATTTCTCCACTGCTACGAAGAATTTTTCAGCGAGATCGGAGTTCTTCTTCGATGACAGCTGAAGTGCCAGAGTTTTGATGATTCGTGCTCTAGTGTTCAAGGAAACATATGAAAATAGATTGTCGGAAAAGTACCGAATATTAGTGATAGATTTGTTTGTCCCATCGAAGAAGCTGTTGGCCTGAAGAGCTTTGTTTACGATCATCTCGTCCTCGGATTTTAAAGCCTCTGCTATTGCCGCGTAAGCGATCTCATTTTGGGGATCCTTCTCGTTCAACATTATGGCCGCCTGAATTTGCACCAGAGGTACAAGCATCCTCGGCACTTTGTCGGACTCGACTATATCTTCCAAATTGTCGGACACCGACAGTTTCTCTCTTATAAAATTCCTTATCCATCTGAATTTTTCGCCGGGGGTATCGCCAGGAATTGCTTGAATAGCGTCCAGATAAGGCGTCGTCATGGCCATTTTCCTCCAGGTTAAGTCCTAAATGACACTGATAATAATTTTTATTATTGTCACGAAAACGAGCAATTAAAAGGTGGGATAAAATAACGGATAAAAAGATTTATTCTTTTTTTCTTTTTTATTTCTACACGTATTGCACGATAAAATCGAGGGTTAATGAAATTTCAAAATGTTTTATACAATACGCGTAATGTGAATATTCATGAAAGATATCTACAAATTACACACGAGTCTGCGTGCATGAATCGAGAAATTTATTGTATTAATGATATCGTGTCAGCAATGAATATTTGAATTGTTTAACCATTGAAATGTATCCGATATATTAGTTGAACTCGAGCGAGTTTGTCGCAGATGAAAAATTAATTAACAATAACGCGTAAACATTCAGTAAACATTCAGTGAAATATTTAAAATCCAATGCGTGCGAATCGTTTCTAATTTCTCTTTTCGAAACGAACTGGATTTATAACTCATTTCATCAGTTGTTGAGCATGAAATAAATAAAATAAAAAATTCTAAACAAGCTAGCTCGTCTACTAAAAATATCCTTCTGCCACGTGTAGACTATCAACTTTGGTTTTGAAAGCTTTGTTTGAAGATCTTACACGTTTTAGTATGAAACGCATATATATTTTTTCGTATTCAGTAAACTGAATATTGAAACCTGTATGTTAAGTTACTAGAATCTCAGAAATTAAATATTCACATGCATAAATAAAACTTTTGAATTGACGATTGCTGTTGACAGTATTTATGGATTTTGAATAACTAATAGCAGTGTTTCTGCAATGCCATTTACTTTTACACTTATCCAGTAAACATTCTTGTCTTTTATAATTATTTCTTACCAAAATAATTATTTAGAATAAGGAAATGAAAGAATCGATATTTCTCGTTTCCTCGTCGGCGTTGTCCTTCTTCCTTTTTATAACAATTTTATGAAAGAAAAAGTATTTCAAATATTTATGAAATTTTTCACCTGCTCTTAGAGGATTTTTGATTGCATAGTGTTTGAAGGAAAATGAGAAATGTTCGTGTTTGAAATAGAGAAAGCTTTATTTTCCTTGCTTCTAATTGCTGTTAATTAAATTAAAAGTTGGTATATATTCGATGTGTGTAAGCATTAAACGAAAAATAACGTTTTATTTAGAACCGATCAAGTATAGTTTGTTATTGAAAGTTTCGTAAGAACAATTATGACACAACGGAACTTGTATACATGGGAGCTGAGGTCATGCAAGGTGTTGTGATTCTTTACTTGTACTATTAGTAAAAGTTATTAATTTCTAAAAGATTATTACTTGTTGGTCTATTTGTTATTTTGATGTCGATTTCAAATATGATATTGATTGCAGTCGCGATAAATTTCTGACAACGCGATGAAGTTTTTGGACAGTGAATAATATGTATATATGACCTATTTTATTTCCATTAATTAGTCTTATCTTAGTCTTATACGAACGAGATAAAATATATATGAAATGAAAATAATGAGCTTGGTATACGTAATGGATTGTACATAATTGGAATATAAAATTCTAGATAAAAAGAACATTTTTGCAAAGATTAACAAAGGTTATTTTTTTGCGTTACTTAAAATCATATCTTTAATAAAATGAAAAATAAAATTCTTTATACTTTGATTAAAAAATATTCGACTTAACATTAAACGTACCAAATGACGGATTTGAAAAATTGATTTGAAACTCTGCATTTATTGTTATTTCTTTCGTTCATTTAACTCTCGTTAAAGAAAAAAGTGAAAATATATATAATTAACTTTCCTTCTTATTATCTAAAAGTTAGTTCGTTTCCTATGTATTCAATTACCTGTATTCCTCTCATAAAACGACCTTTATCTTATAATCGGTCGTTTGATCGGTTACGTGTATACAAAATGCCGGGTACGTTTAATATTAAACGAAATTACCCTGGAATAAAGTAAATTAGTCTCCTTTGTATGTTAAAAATTCAATTTATATTATCATCCATTTATTTATAGAACGATCCAAGTACTGTGGAAATATGATGCAACGAAAACTGGCGAAAGTGAATCAACAAAGTAAAAGAAAAAGAAATCGTTATCACATATTAGATAAAGTAGTATCTAACTATTTTTAATATTTTCGCTGCTTGAAGTTAAAAATATGCTTCTGTGCAATTTATCATTCTTTCTATATAGAAAGACCAGGCAGAATTTCTACAAAAGGGAAGAAGGGCCATTATAGTTACCACGGAAAAGAAATTGACGAATTGATTCTATGTTCTCTCTCGGGAAAAGGGGGAAAAATAATTTTAGTGTTTTTTTTTTTTTTTCAAGTGAAATAGACTTTTACATTTATCACACACACTCTGATTACCAGTTCCAAGGAAAACCAGTTGCAGTTGTTGCGGCTGTTTGACAGGAAATATCTCGCGAAATTGCTTCCAACTTGTTTAACGCTTCTGAAAACCGTGAGTCAAATAATGGTTGAATAATAGGTGAGAGAGTGTGTGTCGTCGTTCACACGGCTGATGACTAAACAAAATGTCTACGGATATCTTTATTTACCTCTGACGAAGGTGATCGATGTAAGGTCGAGGGAATCGGCGATCGTAAATCGGAGTCGGCCGAAATTTTATACGAGCGGTACGCCCCTTTTGTACGTCGTCCCGTGGAACACTTCGAAATTTATCCGTGAATGCCGATCGGGCGTGTTTTCGATCGTTTCACCGGTTGATTTTTTAACTGTCCATAATACCGAAAGGCGTAGACGAGAAACTCGCAACAAAACACGAAATCTCGCCACGAAACGAAGCCAGGTCAGTGTTGACTAATCTCAAACGTTACTCGCGTGTTTATCTAGCGAGCTTAGGTTAGGTTAGGTTTGCAACAGCGAGCGGATTCCCACAGCGCGGCAATTTGTCGTATTAGGGCTGATCTTTAAGTGCATATTTATTTCAAATTGTATATCTAGCGATTTAACTGGGCGTTACTTAAGATTTCCCGTGATCTTTCTGCTAAAAGTTTGAAGAAATCGAGCGATCGGGCTGGTTCGTGGAATTGCGCGGTTTGGGCGGTTCTGCGCATGCGCAGCGCGTGCTGCACGGCAACGTCCGGCAATGTCTTCAGTCGACTTTGCGAGGTCGATGAGCAAACAGGTTGTTTCTTTGACAGATTGTTTTCTAATTGGTATTCGTTCATCGATTGATTCATTGATACGAGTATGTTCATGGCGTAGAAATAAATTGTTTACAGATTGAAAAATAAGCCGAAACGACATCTTTATACACCCGTAAACATTTGACATTCGTGACAACTCTACGTACTTTGTGATATATTCTG